GGAAGAGTGATTCTGTTAATTCTCCTGGTCCTTTTGGTGGGTTTTTTTATACTATTAATCATTGTATCCTTCTGGCCTGCTTTTTGGGGTATGGACTGGGAGGCACTGTTCTGCAGTGGTTTTAGTCCTACCTTAAAGGTAAATTTCAGAATATGGTACTGGGGGAACTGCTGCTCTACCCCTTGATCTTTGGCCTATGGTGTCCAGCAAAGTTTCATCATCCTCTCCCCCACTTTTCAACATCTATGTAAAGCCACTGGGAGAGGCCAGGAGATTTGGGCTGAGTTGCCACCAACACGTGGATGACATTGAGCTCATCTCACTATTTCAGCAGATTTCAAGAAGGCTGCAGAAACCATGAACAGGTACCTGGAGGCAGTTTTGGGACTAATCAAATGAAACTTAATCCAGAAAAAATGGAGGTGTTACTGGTGGGAGAAGGTTTGATCCAGGAATTGGGGTACCTCCTGTACTGGGTGGGGTTGCACTCTCTCTAAAAGAGAAGGTTCATAGCTTGGGGGTGCTCCTGGACCTGGGCCTCCTGTTGGATGGGTGGCAGAAGTGGCCAAGAGTGCCTACAAACAGCTTCGGCTGGTGAACCAGCTGTAGCTCTTCCTTGGCTAGAAAAATCGTACCACTGTGCATGCTTTGGGAACATCTAGACTAGATTACTGCAACATGCTCTACATGGGGTCGCCCTTGAAAACTGTCCAGAAGCTATAGCTGGTACAGAATGCTGTGGCCAGAACACTGATTAGATGGGATCATTGGGAACACATCATTCCAGTCTTGTTCCATCTGTACTGGCTCCTGGTTTGCTTCTGGGCTCAAATTCAAGATGCTGGTATTGACCTTTAGAGCCCTATACAGACTGGGGCCAGCGTAACCGAAAGATGGCAAAATCAACCCCATCTGTTAATCAAGGGATAATATGTCCAGCGGTGAAGCAGCATTGACTTCTGCAGCACTGCAAGGGAAGTAGGATGTGTACTTCTTGGATCATGTGGAGCAGCCAAACGTCAAGGGTAAGCCCTACTGACCAAATAAACAGGTCCCAAACAGGGCTCTGAGGGAGATGGTCTGAAGTTCAGGGACAATAATTTTTCTGATGGATACTGTCAGAGGAACCACTCAAAAAAACCTTTCCACAAACTGAACCTGCCCATCGAAACTTTAGTGATGAAGTATTATTTCCGCAACAGACAGTCGCAATAGGTCAATTCTTTTGACCCCAAGGATTTTGAAGAATTTTTACCCAGACCTAGAGGCCGCAAATGCCTTTGACGTCATTTATGGGTTTCTTTCTCTTTTTTTAACACACAACTCCATTTGCTTAACAGCCCTATTTATAACCGTTTCCATGGCGACAGCGCCGCAAGGTGCTTCACAGAAAGGCTTTGCCACAGCCTCTACCAACTCATCCTTTCCTTTGTGCAAGTGAGAAAATAATCATGCTAAACTTCTATTGCTAATGCTACATGTCTGAATTCTCCAGTTTGGGTTCTGGGCCCTTGGTTTCCTTTCTGAATTCCATATGTGGATAAGGTCCAAAGAACTAACGGTGGCACAACTAAACGCTTGGGTGTGCCTAGGTGGGAGTGCTAATGATAATACTGATAGTGATAATATTTTATTATCAGAGCAGCAGGAAGGAAAAAC